CGTCTTCTCCTTCTCCTCCTCCTCCTCCTCCTCCCGCCTCCCGCCTCCTGCCTCTCGCCCGCCTCCTTCTTGTTTCCTCTCGCCTCGTGCGTAATTACCGCTTGTGTGTGCATGTTGCGTGCGGTACTTGTCTCCGACTTCGCCGACCCTGGGGAGCTGCGTTCTGCGAAACCGTCGCCACTTTCGAAGGCTACTGGGGGGAACAGCATATTGGATACCCCCCGCGGACACAAATTCCACCTCGCCATCCCTGGGGGGCTGCGATTTGCGAAACTATCGCCACTTTCGAAGGTTGCTGGGGGGGACAGCATAGTAGGCAGCCGCCACGGACCCAAATCAGACCTCGCCATGCCTGGGGGGCTGCGATTTGCGAAACTGTCGCAGCTTTCGAGGACTACTGCGGCGGACAGCATAGTGGGCACCCGCCGCAGACACAAATTAGACCTCGCCGTCCCTGTGGGGCTGCGATTGGCGAAATTATCGCCACTTTCGAGGGCTGCGGGGGGGGACAACATATTGGAGACCCCCCGCGGGCACAAATTACACCTCGCCATCCCTGGGGGCTGCGATTTGCGAAACTATCGCCACTTTCGAAGGATGCTGGGGGGACAGCATACTGGGTAGCCGCCGCGGACCCAAATCAGACCTCGCCATACTTGGAGGGCTACGATTTGCGAAACAGGCTACTTGGGGGGCCAGTATTGTGCGTAGCCGCCGCAAATACAAAGTAGACCCCGCCATCCCTGAGGGGGCTGCGGTTTGCGAAACTGTCGCCACTTTCGAGGGCTGCGCGGGGGGGCAGCTATAGTGGGTACCCGCCGCAAATCCACATTAGACTTCGTCATCCCTGGGGGGCTGCGATTTGCGAAACGGTCGCCACTTTCGAGGGCTGATTGGGGTGCCAGCAAAGCGATCTGCGAAACTGACACCACTTTCGAGGGCTGCTGGTGGGTCCAGCGGAGTGAGGCACCGCGCAGATCTGAGCGAATCGCCGCCCCTGGGGGGCTGTGATCTGCGAAACCGTCGCCACTGTCAAAAGCTTCTGGCGGGTCCAGCCGAATGAAGCGTCGCACAAATCTGAGCGGGACCTCGCCGTCTTCGGGGGGCTGCGATCTGCGGAACCGCAGCTGCGTTCGTAGGTTGGCGGCGGGTCCAGCGGGGTGAGGAACCGCGCAGATCTGAGCGGGACCTCGCAATCCCTGGGGGGCTGCGAGCCTCGGGAGTGGAACCCCCCCTCCCTGGGGTTTTGTGGGTGGAGAACCGATGTGTCAGGGTGTCCTTTTTCGGCCAGTGGGCGGGCTAATTTGCGACACCCCCCACGAGGATCGCGGCCCCCGATGGGGGGGGCCGACATCGAGGGCCCCTCCTCTTTTGACCGACCGCCTTCAAGATGGCACGCCGTCGCCGCCGTGCTCGAAGATCTCTCTTGGCGAGAGGACACCGTGAACATCGTGTCAACCTTGGGCCACGCAGTGCATGGCTACGCCCTGATGGCTGGGCAAGCTGTTGCACCTGTGCTCGCTTTCTCTCCCTCGACAGCAGTGGCGCCCATTCTCTGAATGGTATTGGCGCTCATCCAGAGGCGCGTGCAGCTGGGCAACCTGTGGGTCCATGTTGTCGCTGCTTGCTCCTCCTCCAAAAGGTATGTGGCGCCATGTGGTTAGCGTCGAATTGGCCAGCGTCCTTGATAGTTCTGCAGGGTGCTCCTTCAATGTGGCCGTTCTGCGCGTGCCATCTACTCGTCGCCCTGTCGCGATCTCGTGACCATTGGCGCGTAGGCAGCGCCCTCGACCTGCTCGCTGGTCGATGCTCCGCTTGAAAGTTGTGCGCGATTTCTGGGGGATCGCGGTCAGTTTCCTAAAAGTTTGACCGAACGCGCACTGGTTGAATGTGATTGGGATCACGTTGCATATTCCCATGAGCTGCCCCGTGTCTGGGAGCACCCTGCATGGCGCCGCCGTGGCGCACCAGCTTCGTGCTGGATGTTCCACTAGCATCGGCGCGCATGATATCGCACGCACTGCCGCCAAGTACAAAGCTGCACGAACTAATAGATGAGCATGTGCCCTTGCTAAACCATCTTCGCGAACCTGTCTATTTGCTTCCAATTGGTCAGATCTACTATCTCTGCAAAGTTCACCGCATCTACCGAAGAACCATAAAGGGGAAGTCTACTTCCGACTCGAGCCACCGTTGAAAATCTCCAGGTCGTCTGCGCCCCGAGAACAAGTGGCGGATGTACTTGCGCGTAGGTAGATGCACCGGCGCTGACCATGTTAGAGCGCCACCAACTTCGCGATCTTGTTCATCAGGGCGGTCGCGCAGATAGCTGCCGACGAGGTGGTTGGCGACTTCAAGCTGTCCCATTGTTGGCACCGAAGGCGCTCAGCGGTGATCTCTTGCCTTGCTGCCGACCCCTGCGCACAGAAGCGGCGCTGCTCTGGACGTGCTTTTCGTCGTGAAGCGTCGTGTCGAGCTGGTCGCATCGCCTCGGTCGCGCGGTACCCTTGCCGCCCGAGCTCCGCAATGCGTGACTTGTCGAGTTCCATGAGTTCGTGCACCTCCCTGTCGGTTGGACCACCATGCGTTTCTTGGAGAGACTCCAGGCACGCAGGTGATCGGCGCCGCGGGTGCGTGACAAGCCTTGGCCTCGCATGGAACTCCGTCTTGCAGCAATGGCAACATGTCCATGTTGCCTGCCGCTGGGCTTCGTCAATGGGGTCGCGGCCCCTCTTGACGCGCGCGTGTAGCACTGTTGCGTTGGGATGCGACCTCCCGCAGTTATCGCACTACGCCTGTGGGGTTGCTGGCTCTGGTGGTGGGGTGGGGGGGGCCGTGGCCGTGGACTCGTCGAGGACTGCATGGAACGCGTGGCGCCGATCTGCCAGGTGGCATTGGCCGCGTTGGCGTGCTCTGCACCGATCCCACACCTGCTTGAGTAGCCGTCGGAACGTCGGCGGGTCCCAGGCGATATATTCGATCCATGCTCGCGTGGTGAGCTGGTGCCAGCCACCGACTTCCTGTTCGTGCCCCTGCTGGAACTGACCTGCATGTAGTTGTCAAAGTGGGTGTGATCCTCAGTCGCCGCGGTCTCCTGCACGCCTGCAATGTGGATGTGTTCACCGCGAAGCTAGAGACGCATAAGTCGGCCTCGATCCTTCTTGAGGGTTTTGGTCAATTTGCAGAAAGCTTCTCTCGGGGCGTAGGTATTGTCCGCGTTGGTGTCGACGACTGTACGTTGAGCATTGTAGGTGGCCAGGTTGAGGCTGATCGTCGTTTTTGCTTTCTGGGCGGGAATTCGTGTCTCATCTGATGCTGGCGGTGCTGGCAGTACCGGTGGGGCTGGAGCCGCAATAGTCATAGCTTCTTGGGCTCGAAATACCTGGTGTCGAAAGCACAGTCCATGTTCGCAGGCCTCTGGGTATGCACGCGTGTCCCTAAAGCGATGATCTCTCAGGGTCGCCCAGAGCATGAACTCTGTGATGTATAACACTTTGACATAACTGACTGACAATGTGGCTGGGCTGGTTAGGCCGATGACCTCCGTGGTGTTCTGAAACTTCTTGGCGTGATACTTCGCTATCGAATCGCAGAGTTCATGCAACGGTTGTCCAACGCGCCCTTTAACATGTCGAAATGGAGCTGTACGCATACGCTGCACTGCATCATGCCCACTTACTGCCAACATAGATTTGGGGCCCTCCTTCGCGGTGGCCCTGGTCAGGATGTCGACTGCACCCTGCGAGTCGGTAGAAATGCTAGAGCTGACGTCAGTGTCCAACTTCAGTGAAAGAAATAGCGCCCAAAAATATGTTCTGCTTGCGTCGGGTCCAATGGAGCGTAGTTGATGTCCATGTTGACACTATCTTTGGCTAGATGTCCAATCTGCCCATGAAAATAGAATTCGTCTTCTCCTCGTGAGATGACCATTAGGGGCCATCCAGATGCTTCCTTGTTTGTCGGTACAGCTGAATCTGTGTATGTGCAGTAATTAACTGGGCCCATTGCCGTGAACTTGGTGAGCTCCAGGGCTGCTTGGGCGAACCCATGAATCTCAATGTGTCCTTATCCTCCTCATCATCATCCTATTCCTCCTGTTTCTCTTCCTCCTCCTCCTCCTTGTCCTATCGTTCTCGTCCATATCCTTCGTCCTCGTCCTCGTCAGTTTCCTCCTCCTCGTGCTCCCCCCCCCTCCTCCTCCTCCTCGTTCTCATCCTCCCCCTCGTCCTCTTCCTCCTTTTCCTTCTCCTCCTCTCCCCTTCCTCCTCCTCCTTCCTCCTCCTCCTCCTCCTCCTCCTTCTCCTCCTCCTCCTGCTCCTCCTCACTCTCTTAATCCTCGTCCTCCTCATTCTCGTCATCCTTCTCCCCGTCTTGCTCCTCTTGCCTCTTCCCTCCTCCTCCTCCTCATCCTCCTCCTTTTCCTTCTCGTCTTCGCCCCCCCACCACGCGGGCCCGGAGATGGCTCCGACACGCCGTCCAGGCCAGCCTCCCTCCCTGTTTGACTACGCGTGTCTCTTCCTCTCCCCCCGTCAGCTCACATGGGCGTCGTTTCTGGATGGGCTGGTGGGGATGCGCAAAGCGTCAAGAATAGTTCCTAATAGTCATCCTCCTCGGTACTGCCCCGCGCACGCCTGGCGTGCCCGCGCTGGATAGTCTGCAAAGTGCGTTTGTCGTGCGCACCCGTTGGGAATAGTAGGCCATAGTTCTTATAGTAGTCCTGTGTGATCGCGATGCCCTGGGAGTCCAGCAAGTCCACGAAGTATTTGGTACCGCCTGTACTGGTAGGCTGGTAGTGTAGCTTGACTTCGTCAGCCAATTCGTACTCGTTGTAGTTGTAGCTCATGTAGTAGACCTTCATGTGCGTGTACTCGGTTGGTTCCAAATCGTACCGTTGATCCTATGGCTTGGCAGCGATCGCCTGGTTGAGCCCGCCGAGCGTCGGGGGGCTGTATCGATCTCGAGCGTGACGTAGTCCTCCTTCTCCGGGTCCCATGGCGTGAAGTAGTGGAACCCCAATGCCAAGTCGTACGTTTGGCTCCCCAGCAGGATGTAGTTGTTGGTAGCATACCAGTCGCTATCTCGCAGGGGCTATGGTGGTTCTTCTCCGGGAGATCGCGTAGCCCCATGAGAGCTTCGGCTCGCAGATACTCCCTCCTCCTCCTCCTTCTCCTCCTCCTTATCCTCCTCCTCTTCCTCTCTATCCTCCTGCACTTCCTCCTTCTCCTCCTAATCATCATCATTATCATCATCATCACCATCATCATCATCATCATCATCATCATCATCATCATCATCATCATCATCATCATCATCATCATCATCATCATCATCATCATCATCATCTTCATCTTCATCTTCATCATCATCATCATCGTCGTCATCATCGTCATCATCGTCATCATCATCATCACCATCATCACCATCACCATCACCATCACCATCACCATCAGCAGCAGCATCATCAGTATCATCATCACCGTCATCAGCATCCTCATCATCCTCATCATCATCACCACCATCAGCAGCAGCATCATCAGTATCATCATCAGCATCATCATGAGCATCATCATCATCAGCATCATCAGCGTCATCATCATCATCTGCCTCGTCATCATCATCATCATCATCATCATCATCATCATCAGATTCATCCTCATCATCATCAGCAGCATCGTTATCGTCATCATCATCAGCAGCAGCATCATCACCATAATCAACATCATCGGTATTCATCATCGTCATCATCATCAGCATCATCACCATCATCAGTCTTCATCATCACCAGCATCATTATCATCCTCCTCATCATCCCCATACTCAGTCTCATTCTCATCATCATCCTCATAATTATCATCATCATCCTCCTCATCATCCTCGTCTTCCTCATCGTCCTCATCCTCATCCTCATCCTCATCCTCATCCCTCCCATCATCAGCATCATCATCATCACCACCACCACCACCATCATCATCAGATTCATCATCTTCATCATCTTCATCATCATCGTCATCAGCATCATCATCATCACCACCACCACCATCATCATCATCATCATCATCATACTCATCATCTTCATCATCATCATCATCATCATCCCTCCTCTCTCCCCCCGCCCTCCCTCCCTCTTCCATCATCTTCATGATCTCGACCTAAAGCCCCGATCCTTGGCCCACTGGAACCAGCTGTCGTCGCGGAATGGCTTCGGGTCGCAGTCCTTGTTGACCTCCGTGACGTCGGAGGTGGTGTTGGCAGACCAGAAGCGGAGCCTACGACGACGGCGACGACGACGACGAGGACCACCACCACCACCGACGACGACGACGACGACGACGACGACGACGACGAGGACCACCACCACCGACGCCGACGAGGACCACCACCACCACCACCACCGACGACGACGAGGACCACCATCACCACCACCACCACGACTACGACGACGACGACGACGACGACGACGACGACGACGACGACGACGAGAAAGACGGCCGCGGCGCTTGCCGCCGCGGGCGGGCGGCCACGCCTCGAGGCGTGGGCGGCGGGGCCGCGAGCAGACGCGCGCAGCAGGCCTCCGCCCCCCGGCGGCGGGGGCCCGGATGAAGGGGGCCCAGGACACACAAATAAATGCACACAAATGACAGGACTCCCCATGTTTCCCCATATTTTCAGGGTGCTTGTCTTCTCCCCCACTTCCCAGATGTTCCCACGTTTTCCTGGGGATCGACGATGACTTGTGTCTGTGTGGTTCTTCCCCTCCTGACTGGAGACCTCCCGCACGGGGCCAGATCAGGTGGGCGACGAATACAGTCGGACTCGATTGGACAGGACACGCGAGAGGACGCAAGACCCTTCTGAGGGCCACACTGCCACGGGAATGTAGGAACCATGGGTCGCGAGACGCAGGTCGACCCCCGCCGCCGGACCTCGGCCCACGAAGTTGTCGCCGCCGACTCTCTCGGCGGCGAGCGAGGAGGGGAAGTGAGAAGGGGCGGGCATGCTCAGGAAGAAGTCCCCCAGCCTCCTCAGGCATCCTCCAGACCTCCGCCGAAGGCACGCAGAAAACTCCTCCGAGGGCCGGAGCGCTTCAGAGAAGTCCCGCCGCCTTCCGAGAAGGCCTTCTCTAGGGAAACGAACTCTATACACCGACGCTTTTTCCGACCCTGCGCCGAAATTCGCACAGGAACGCAGATCCTGGTGTATACGGGATCCTGGTGTGTACATTTGTCGCCCTTTCCCTTGGAAAACGGGGGAAACGTATACACCACACCACCCCGACGTCGTCCGCGACCCTCAAAAGGTCTTGGGATTGAAAAAACAGCCCGCCGCTGGTGGTGTACATGTTCCAGCTTCCGATTCTCCTTCTCGCTTCCCCACCCTCGCTCGCCGGGCCGACTCTCGGCCCTCGGATCAAAGGCCGTCCACGGCGGCAGCTTCAACCGCTAAATTCGACCGCAACGGCAGCGAAGCCGACACTGACCGACACCGGCCAGCAAGGGTTAGGTCGGGCCTGCCCCCCTACAGGGGGATTTTGAGCGAAAAATAAAAATATCCCAAAATTACTCCAAAATGGCAAAAAATACTCAGAAATTAGTCCCCAGGCTATTTTTTTAACTATTTTTGGATATTCTCCCTGTAGAGGGACAAGCCCGAAGACGAGGGCGCGGCGACGCGGCAAAGACACGACAACCGTTCGAACCGCATCGACCGACCGCAGCCGACGGCGCCTCAGCCGAACCGACCGAACCGCGGGCACCCTTGGTGATCCTCGACGTCTGGCTTCCGGGTCATGACTCGGACCTCTGGCGTCCGTTCGGGGCGATCTGGGGCCCCCCGGGAGGCTCTCGGCAAGGCGCAGCTGCCGAAAACCACCCAGGCCTGGGAAGCGAAACGTGTGTTGCATCCTCAGGGGGCCCCAACCTCCTCCTCCTCCTCCTCCTCCTCCTCCTCCTCCTCCTCCTCCTCCTCCTCCTCCTCCTCCTCCTCCTCCTCCTCCTCCTCCCCCTCATCCTCCTCCCCCTCCACCTCAACGTACCCCGCCGCGCCGCGATCCACGCCGAATCCGTGTCGGGCGCGTCGAATCCGTGCCGGATCCGTGCAACGTCCACGTCGCAGCCGTGTCGACCACCGTCGGAGCACAGGAAGAGACTGCCATTCGGCGGGCAGGCAGCGTCCCCCGAAGAGGCAGAGCCACTTGGCGACCCGGCGCAGCGCAGACCCTTGCCGTGTGCCTCCTCCTCGGGCCCTCGATCCTCGACCTCGGTCGAGCCTGTCCCCCTACAGGGGGAATTTGGGCGAAACATCAAGAATACCCCAAAAATGCTCCAGAGTGCTCCGAAAATGCTCCAAGCATCGTCCCCCGACTACTTCTTTGACTTTTTCTGAGTCTTTCCCCTACAAGGGGATTTTGGGCGAGCTCCACAGTGCTCCGAAAATGCTCGAAGCATCGTCCCCAGACCACTTTTTTGCCTTTTTGGGAATCTACCCCCTATTACACGGGGATCTTGGGCGACAAATTAAAAATACCCCAATAATACTCCAAAGTGCTCCGAAAATGCTCAAAACATCGTCCCTTGACTACTGTTTTGCCTATTTTTGAATCTCCCCCGTCGAGGGACAGGCCCGCCTCGACCCTCGACGCCGCCCTCCCCGTGCGGGGGGCGGGGAGCCCGCCGGCGGGCTGCAGGCGGGGGCAGCTCCGCAGCGCTTTCTCGTAGCCCTTGGGCCGCTTGTCGGCGTCGCCGCGCCTGGCCGTGGCGCCCGCGGCCAGGCCCCGGGCGCCGCTGCTGCATAGGAATGGAAAAATGCTAACAACGAGAATCGTACCAATAGTGATGCGAGTAGTGATAATAAGAAAACAATGCTAAGACTAAAAAAAATAGGAGGAGGAGGAGGAGGAGGAGGAGGAGGAGTAGGAGGAGGAGGAGGAGGAGGAGGAGGAGGAGGAGGAGAAAAGAAAAGAGGAGGAGGAAGAGGAGGAGGAGGAGAAGGAGGAGGAGGAGTATGCCGCCGCCGCTGCTGCCGCTGCTGCTGCTCCTGAATATAGAGCTGATGACGGGCCTGCCCGAGGAACTTGCGCCGTGCACCGAGCGTTCGGCTCATGTTGCTACGCGAGCTGCGCTCGAAATGGAGGGTCCAGCACTCTGATGCCCCGGGCCCATCCTCCTGGATCGATCGGTCGGCCACCTGTTTGAGGATCAGGCTGTTCTCGAGGGAGGAGTTTGAGGAATCGGTGGATCGGGGGGCTGAAGCGACGGGCCCTAGACTAAGGCGATGCGGTTGGGCATGTGTCCCACTCTGTACTACGCTCGATAATTCTGACGGAGGTTTCGCTGGCACGCTTGGTGGATCCGAGCAGTCTCCTCGAGCTGAATTGCATGCACGCGCTTTCGTACTGTGGTTCACTTCTGGACTTCTCTGCTTTCTCCAACTATTGACCCGTAGCGAAAGGTTTCAAACACCTCTCCGACACCCTTCAATTAACTCCATCGAGCAGCTCCTGAATGGATCCGCTGATGCGTATGCTAGAGAGGCTGCCCGAAGAACGACCATCCCAGAATATTTAGCGGCCATCACACACCAACATGACCAGCAGTAAGAGGCAGGTTTGCATCCAGCGCGAATGTTCGCCACCAGCCTCAGAGAATGAGTGCGATAGCGTGTTGGGCATGAGCATCTGCGAGCGCGGTCTGCGCACGCTAGTGCCCAAACCAGACTGACTAGAGTTTGTGAAACTGGACATTCCCTCATTCGGCTTAAGACTATTATGACGTGTAGTACTTGGTCCTCTCGATTTCTGAAGCGGGGAATTGCGTGTGCGTGTTGGCCTGGCCCGTGTGCGGCCAGCGAAATTATCCGTTTTGCGCCGCTTCCCCAGGAGGAAGGGCTCGCGCTGGTAAGTCCTGAGACAGAAGGAGCTATTCCGTCGTCTCATCCCTTGGCTGCCCAGTGCCGCGAATCCCATATCCCAGGGAAGCTTATAGGGTGATGTGTCGTTTCCTTTGCGGGCTTTTCGCGGTGAACAACAGAAGACGGTTCAGTCAACCCTGTCACACGCCCACTCGGAAAGGCCTCGAAGCGTTGAATCGCATTGGGCGTGGGCTCCCGCCGAAGTCGGGAATGGACTTTCCTCGGTGATTGTGGTGAGGTGGCCAGGCTATCACCTGGGAACCAAACTTTCGACATAGCGCCAAATCACCATCATCACCATCACCAACATCACCATTACCATCACCATCACCGTTATCACCATCGCCGTCACCGTTATCACCATCACCGTCATCATCACCATCACCATCACCATCACCATCATCCTCATCCCCATCATCCTCCTCATCACCACCATCATGATCATCACCATCACCGTCAATATCAGCATCACCATCACCATCACCATTCTCACCATCACCATCATCCTTATCCTCATCATCAGCATCATCACCACCAGCATCAGCATCATCCTCATCCTCATCCTCATCCTCATCCTCATTCTCCTCCTCCTCCTGCTGCTCATCCTCATCATCATCCTCATCCTCATCAGCTTTAGCATCAGCATCAGCATCAGCATCATCAGCAGCAGCAGCATCAGCATCCTCAGCATCATCAGCATCATCATCATCGCCATCCTCGTCCTGGTCCTGGTCCTGGTTCTGGTCCGGGGCCTCGTCCTCCTCCTCGTGCTCCTCCCCGTCCTCGTCCTGAGAACATCCGACGATGCGATTTGTCCAATCGCGGCGAATGGATTGAACTTCGGTCACCCCGAGCCGCCCTCGGGCCCAGAGACCATGAGAAATGACATCCGTGGCGGGAAATCAGCGCCGTGTCGCGACCACGGGCTGGCCACGTCGTGGCTCCCAACCCAGGCCTCCAAAGCGTTCCTTCGCCCTCTGGAGGCCCTCGCCAGCCGTGGGGGCGTCAAAAAGCAACTCAGGGTCGGGACATCTGGGGGGGCCGTATTCGAAAACGTCCAGATGTCGGGTGCTTCGGTTTCTCTTTCTCCCCTTCTTCCTCCTCCTCCTCCAATCTTTTCCTTATCAATAACGCATCCCTGTCGCACCCCGAGGCCGGTCGAAAGGGCGAGCCGGGCGGTTCGCCTGAGATTGCCTCTCCATTGATGACCCTGAAAAAAAGCCTAACAGCAGCTTCGCAGATGGAGGGCGGGTGGTTTTCAAAATGTGGCTCTCGCCTTAGCGCCGCGCACATGCCTTCTAAAAAATTGCAAGAGTTTCGCGGATCGAGGGCGGGTGGTTTTCAAAATGTAGCTCTCGCTTTAGCGCCGCGCGCACTCGTTGCAAAACAATGCGAGAGTTTCACGTATTGAGGGCGGGTGGTTTTCAAAATGGGACTCTCGCCATAGCGCCGCGCACATTCGTCAAAAGTTTCACGTATTGAGGGCGGCTATTTTTCAAAATTTGGCTCTCGCCTTGGCGCCGCGCACATTCGTCTTGTAACACATGCAAGAGGTTCACGGATTCCCATGGCCAACGTACCAGAAGTAGTGTTCTGGAAAGATTAAGGATTGCGAGGGCGCAACAGTTACGTTTAGTCGCGGTGTTGAAGCCCCAGGACTGGTGTTCTGGCACGGCTCAAGATCATCAAGACGCATCAGTCAGGTTGATCCGTGGTGTTGGAGTCCCGAGAATAGTGTATTGGCTTGGTTCAGGGTCTTCACACGGTTGTCCCAACGAGGCAGCTTCCTCAATGGAAATGAAACCTTGTAGGGGCCTATGAGGAGGGAACTTGGAGGGTTTATTCCAACATCGTTGATGAATATTGGGCTTGCACTGGTCCTCCTCCTCCTCCTTCTCCTCCTCATCCTCCTCCCGATCCTCAATCTCATCCTCGTCCTCCTCCCCCTCCTCCTCCTCCTGCTCCTCCTCCGCCTCCGCCTCCTCCGCCTCCTCCTCCTCGTATCTGTGAGGGGAGGCGGGGTCGGCGCTGGCAGAGCGAAGAACGCGGCAGCCGCCGCCTGGGTGCGTGCCTCCAGCGCGGCGGGCTGGCGGACACGGAGGTCCGCAGGCCCTCAAGAGGAGGGCCAGTGCAAGGTGGGCGCGCGGGGTCGGTCAGCCTAAGGATCTCGGAGGGAACCCCCTGACCCCCGATGGCACTGACCCTGGTCGCGTGCGCCCCGACCTCCTCCTCGTTCGACGCGAAGGCATGGTCCCCCATGTAAGCAAGACCCAGGAAGCCGATATCGACCGATATGGATATGGATATCGGCCGATATATGCCCCCCGGAGCCTTATCCTGATTCTTGTCCTCCTCCTGCTCCTCGTCCTCCTCGTCCTCGTCCTCGTCCGAGCCTCGTCCTCGTCCTCGTCGTCCTCCTCCTCCTCGTCCTCCTCCTCCTCGTCCTCCTCCTCCTCGTCCTCCTCCTCCTCGTTCTCTTCCTCCTCCTCATCCAACTCCTCCCCCTCCCCATCCTCCTCCTGTTCCTCATCATCATCATCATCATCATCATCATCATCATCATCATCATCATCATCATCATCATCATCATCATC